ACCCTTTCTAAACTCTATCTCCCTAAAATTCAGCTCCCTCAGGAACACCTTAACATAACCCTCTCACTGGCTTAACTTTCTCAACACACCCTCTGGCCCAAATCTTCTCTCTAGCCGGGGCTTTTATAGTACTCTCAGCTGAACTCCCATTGGCTGGCTCTCAGCTGCCTTCTGATTCACCAGCTGGACCTCTGTTCACCACAGTGGCTCAAAGGGTGATTTTTTGCTGCCCACCAAAGGAGCAGCATTTCACTGCTCTTTGGGGGTGGCAAAAAAGGAGGATCAGGGCCACCGTGTGTGGTTGCTACAGCCTTGATCTGCCGCTCCCAGGGCTGGCCCAGAGCTGCCCCTGACAGGTCATCTGCATCAGCCCTAAATCTCTTAATCTGTGTTTTGTCTTTCTTTCATGCTGAAATTTGGTAAACAGTGAAGAGATTAGAGTGATTTCATATCATCTGAAATTCCATATGTTATTAGTACCTGGGAACATCTGAACTGGACCCTAGATACTTATTTGGCACCTTAAATCATGTGCCTCCTATGGTCATTTCTTACATTAGCAAACTGGAAAGAACAAAAGCAACAGGACGAAGTTAAGGAACTACAGCATTGATATAGTTTACGGCATGAAATATAGGGAGCGGGGATGGTTAATTTATATGTTAGTTGCTCACAAAATATCAGAGTGATATTCACTTGAATTTTGTAGGCATCATAAAAAGAAATGCTTCTATGGGAATATGCAAAACATTATATGAAGGGAGAGGTGAGTCTTCCAATTGCAAAGGCTGAAAGACTAATAAATGTCTTATACTTCTTTTAGCGACATTAATGCCATCAGCATGAGGGCCAGGATAGAGTATATGAGTTGGCTACTTTGTAAACTGTATTAAAACTGTTTTTGTAATACTGAATTGTTGCAGGTTGCTTAGGACCAGTGACTCAGGCATGAATGAGAAGACAGGTATCACTATTCCGTCAGGACCTTTAAACAATATTTGACCTTCTACTGTTTTAATATGGTTTCTAAGATGAGCTGCACATTGTTTTATGTTATCTCTAGAAGTGCAGTTTCTTTAAAAAAGATCCTATTTTGTAATTTTAACATTATATTTCGATTGTTCTAAACTAGAAGGTTTTCTAGATATTTAATGATGACTGAGCATATAAATCCACTCTCATGCTCTCTTTCTCTCTCTGGGGCAGAAAAGCTGGCTTCTGGGTGTCTTGGGGTGTGTGGCAACTAGATGACAGACACCCCAAAGATGCCTGGAAGCCACCCAGCCAATCAGATGGGAGAGGCTTCAAGG